AACAAAAAATACCTGCTAATATTATGTTGTATTTTAGCTTTATGGAATAGCTTAGTGAAATAGAAAATAACATTGTTTCCAAGTCTACAGTATAAGACAATATGGACAAACCTAATAGTAGTCACAACAGTTGAAGCAAGGAAGGCCATGCCTTTATCACTGATGGAAGGAAGGAAGGGTCTCTTAGATTACAAGCTTGAGAGTGAGGAAAAATGTAGCAAAGATAACATTCACCTGAAAGGGAAAAGGATAGTGGAAACTGAAACTAACAACAGGAAAAAGGTATAGAGGAGGCAGAGAGGGGTAAAAGCTAGAAGAATGAGAGGGGTAGAAGCTAGAAGAATGAGAGGGGTAAAAGCTAGAAGAATGAGAGGGGTAAAAGCTAAAAGAAAGAATGACAAGCGGAAATGTAAGAAGAGTTGGAAACATGGCAGGCTATGTAAGTATGAATGGAACATTTGAAATGGTGGTATGAGAGCATAGGCTAATGGGAGGATGTGAGGAGTGTGGTCATTAGAATGGCAAAAGAGGATGCCTTTAGCTCTGGGATCTTGACAGATTTAAGACAGGAATAAATTAGTATTTAATTTTCATTACTTATAAACAGAGTTGTCATATTTGTAGGTGCAGCTTTGGCTATAGTTGGCAAAGAGCTTTTATAGTTGAGTCCTGGCAAATCTTTGAGGCATCCTGATGTTACCACCTTCTTCTGCCCCCTCCACTCTTCCCTGAATTTTACACCTTGCAAAGAAATTTGTGCCCACTCCCACAGCTGCTCTAATGCAAAAGCCCAGCACCATGTTTAAACAGCTGATGAAGATTGGTTTGAGCTAAGATGCTGGACTGTGAACTGGAACTTTTGAGATCTAGGCACCTATTCCTGTATGGAGTGGGGTTGGTAAACAAAGAGAGCTGAACAGACGGCTGGGTGCTGTGACACCGCAGACTACACAGCTTGATTTGGCAGGGCTTGCCAGGCAAAGCCTTAACTCCTGTGGAGCCCTTAATCGTTTTCAAAGACATGGACTTTGACATCAGAATGCCCTGAAGTGGTGGAACCAAATAAATGTTTCTTCACTACCTGAAAATTTGCCTTTAGACTCTCTCTATATAATGTGAAACATAAACCTATGTTGGTGCCTGTAGAATATCCTCTGGGCTTTTTTGAGGCTTACAAGGACATCTTATCATTCATTCTCATGTTTTCTTCAGATGTTAGACTTCAGAGGGAAAAGATCAGGATAGACCAAGAAAAAACATGGAAGGTAGGAGTAAATAATTTCCAGAGAAGAGTAACTCTTCTTTAACTGAAATTGTTAATGTCCACGGAATACTAGTAGATGTACTTCCTTGGTGAACAGCTTAATGATACCCTTAAAGGATGACGCACTTCACCTATTTATATGTCTTGTCCTACAAGATTGGATATTCCTTGAATAATGTGTAATTCATGTCATCTTTTCATTATCCAGGTTATCTTAGACTTGATCCAGTATGAAAACATCGTTGTAAAGAGAGCGTTGAATTTTGATAAGCCTTTTCTTGAGAAACTTGGTATTACCTCAGTCCCTTCATGCTATCTGATGCATCCAAATGGGTCCCATGGATTAATTAACATGTAAGTAGTTATCTGTCTGAGGAACATGGGGAGGTTAACTTAAGCTATAAAACCAGTTTCCATAGCTTCCTTTCATACCACATAAGTTATTCTATAACCTCCTTTTGCATATATGTAATGACGCTGTGTCCTGGCGTGTAATCAATACATTGTACTGACTGAAGTTGTGTGTTCCATTTCTTTGCGTTTGAAAATCGACTGCCTTGAGTGCTCTCTAGCAGTTATTAAATCATCTGGTGGTCTTGTTTACTCTTTGTGAGTGCCTGTAATAAACAGACGGGGGTTGTGCCAGTGGAAGTTAGATTTCATCATGCAGTTGGGAAGATGAGCCAAAATGGTGTGGTGGCTAATTATAACCTTTGTGGTGGTTGACTACAAGAACAAGTTTATACCACTGACAGCTCACATGTTAAGTAAACGATTTGAAGTAGTATTTCTAACTGGAAATAAAAGCTCTAAGCCTGTGTTTGTTATACGGAGTTCAATATGCTGAGAGCAATGAGCTGGTTGTTCTTAATGAACCATTTGATATTGTTACCTCTATTCTTTTAATAAGAGACCTAATATTACTTTTGCTTACCAGTGTTGATATTTATAGCTTTAACCTTTTCCTGTGATATTTCTGAAAGAAAAACACTTTGGAATAAAAGTGGGAAAAAATGAATGAATGAAAACTTGCCTCTAAGTCAAAATACTTGTTCCATGTGAACATTGCCTGTGTAAGGCGAACTGACATTTTGATGAACATGATGTGTTCTTATTTTGAATGGAATTTCAAACCATTAATCCAAATGATTGTTATTACTATTCCAAAATTGAACATTATTTCATTTCACTTTGTATCAAAACACAACCTGTTGCAGTAGCATTGTAAAACATAAACCAAAACGAATATCTTATTTTATAAATATGCTAATTTGCATAGTCTGAGATTAAAAGGAATCTTTACTTTGTCCATTTATATGCAGTTTGAAACCTCTACGATCTTTCTTTTCTTCGTATCTGAAGTCACTGCCAGGTGTAAGAAAAAAAATTCTTTTGCCACTTCAGCTACCTGTTCAAGAAAACAAAGAGGAGAGTACAGAAATCAAGGTGTGGAAAGAGTTCGATAAGTAAGTGATACCCTCGATTTTCAGATCAATGCTTGGTTATAAAAACTTGCTTGCAGTCTTTTCTTGCCGCATTGGAAGCTGTGCTGTAATTTATTACAAAATCCTAGTGCAGTTAAAAATTGTACTCCATTCCATGCCACGTGGTGCAGCTTGAGTTGAATAGGTTGGTCACTACTGAATGATCTGCATTCTTCTGCTGAGTAAAATCAAATGCATCTGTGCTTAATAGTGGAGAAATTATGGCATCAAAGCTGAAAGCAATGCCTTCAGCTGTTGCTTCAACTTCATCCATTTCTCAGTACATTCAGGTAACACTGTGGAATTAGTTCAATTCCAGCATCAAGGTTACAACTTCTTTACAATTGCAAGCAGTGTTTCAGACAATTCAGAGGTGAAATTATTGAGGGCTGCCAGTATTTGGTTTTTAGCAGCAAGCATCTGCACCACTATGGAAGGAATGTTTTTCTCCAAAAGTGCTGCTAAATATTTAATTGACTTAAAAATACCAAAGACTCATCACCTGTTACCTAAAGTAAATGGATCACTGATTTGAATTGTTGGAAAACTTCAGCAAATAATAGGTGTTCCTGGAAAAAATAAATAGTAAAATAACAAGCTATAACACTTCTGTAGAAAGCGAGAATTCTCTGTGTGTATAATAGTGAAGCTGTGCCCACTGAAAAGGGCTTGTCAAATGCAAGTATGGTAGAAAATGCTAAAGTCACTGTAAAAGACGTTTATCATACAAAATCCAGTAAGGTTTATCTGGAGCCTCTTTCCTTCTTTGTTTGAGAGAAGGATCCAAAGGCTTTGCAGAGAGATAATCCCTCAGCATCTTTAGATGGAAAAGATGTAGGGCTGAGTGCTTTCATTTTGTACTTATGTTCCTTTCATGGACACTATTAGTGTCATCTTCTTTCAGTGGCTATTATAAAATATTTTACGTAAAACATTCTGCTATCAAAACAATTTAGTTAAATTGAGCTGCTTTCCAGCAAGACAAAATCTTGTTGATGTGAATCTCAAGTCCAAGTATCTTCTAAATAGGATTCCTTGGGGGGAACCTCATGCATTCATATGGACGTCTCTATTTAAGAAACTTGAAGCAGAATTTTGCTGTTTTAAATTTAAGTGAGTACATTATTAATGAAGGAGATAAATTCAGAGTAAGACTGTAGTTTGAGTTGTTAAGAATGTGGATTATTTTGTATTTTAATAGGTAATTTCCTGCATGCTATTTAAGAGGTGGGGCCAGCCAGTTTCTTGCATGATTGTTCTTTTAATTCTGTTTGGTTTTAGAAATAATACAGCTGCTGAACTCTTACAAGAAGTGTTTAACTCTATTAACTATGTGAACTTCTGTTTGTTTGGTTATATTTCTCTGCATCGTACTGTCTAGAGTTTTAGTCTGAAAGCATTGAAAGATAGGGTGTTTTACTTGATGTGTTGGTACTTTGTAAAGTGTTTTTGTTGTTATGAAGATATTTGGTTGTGAGAAGGAACTCTTAAAATCTTTGATGTGCTTTACATGTTTTACTTGTACCTTTAATAAGGTGCCTAAGTCTGTTTTAAGAGCTGGTGGGATTAAAATTGACTTAAACTTGTATGCAAAGAACCTACAGTAAAACTACTGCGTTTGGGAAAGGATTTCTAGATTAAGTCCTTTCCAACATTGACCTTTTTCAGTCTTGTTTGCGCTCCTGCTCTGTGTATAATCTACTTTTGTTCAACAAAAGTTTCCCTTTTTTCATACCATGTCATTTTTCTATGTGTGGTCAAACCTGAAGAGAAGCTATAATTTCTTTACACTAGCTATTTCCTTGTTGACAATGTCAGGGTTATAATTTCATTACAAGGTAAAGCTGGCTGGGAGGCAAAAAGTTTAGTCAAATATAAAAGAAATTCTCGTGTGTGGTTATGCTTCATTTGTCTAAACTCTGAACAAAATGACATAAAATCACTCTTTTAAGAGAGTACGGTGAAACTCGTTGAACTTGACATTCTCCATACCGAGCACCTGAAGTAACTGCTGTGTCTCCCTGTCCTGGTGCAGGCTACACTGCAATCACTGTGGAGTGGCAAATGTTGAGGTTTTAATGACACCTACTATATATCAATTTTACCTTCATGACTGGTGAGAAAATGAGCGAAAGAAACCTGCCACTTTATAATATTATATATGTGTGTTTCAGATCTAAGCTGTACATGGCTGACCTTGAATCGGGATTGCATTACCTACTCAGGGTAGAGCTTGCTACGCACAAGACACTTGAGGGAGCTGAGCTAAAGACCTTCAAGGATTTTGTTACTGTCTCTGCCAAGGTATACACTTCTAGTCTTTGATTATTTGTAAGAAGAAAGTGACTCTAACATAAAATTTATTATGTGACATAAGTCTCTCAAAATGTCTTTCAGAATGTTTAAATATATGCTTCCTCACTAGCTTAAAAAATAGTTCTGTGGGTTTCTTTAAATGTTATTTTTGAGTTATTGTATGCCATTCTGACATATGTACGGGGTTGAAATGCATTTTAATTTAATTTTAGAGGGCTCGAAATTAAATAAAGCTTAAGTAGTCTGCAGCATATTGAACAAACACTGTAAATACGGTTCATTTATCAGATTTTCGGGATAAGTAGCTATTGTTACTGAGTGGGATTAAAAATCCTTTGGTTTTCATTCTTGAGTTCTGAGTTTTGTTAGTGCATACTTGACAAATGGTGTTCTACTTAGAAACTTCTGTCTAATTTTTTAATATAATTGAGGTATTGAATTAATTTATTATTTCAAAATAATGGAGGTATTGAATATAATTAAGTATTTAAAGATGCTTACATACTACATTTGAGTGAAGGGACAATATACGTAATACAATGGGATATGACTTGCAAAAAATAAATACTTTAACTTTGTAATGTCGGCCTACTGAAATGATCAGTGTCTCTATATTTACTTACTGAGCAGCTAACATTTTGTTTCAGTTTAAAGAAAGCGAATCAGTATGTGTTTAAGGGAATAATAAGGCCTATATGAACTATTTCCAAATATCTGGATTTATCTGAAAATCAGACAGACAGTTTCTTCCCCCCCTCTCCCCCCCCCACCGCGGCTGTCGGAGGTCAGAAATCTCTAGCTGGCCTCATTTCTTTAAGAAAGTGTAGTGGTAATCTTTCCATCATATTATCCCTAAACCATCCTCTCTTCTTCCTGATGGCTCCTGGCCAGCTGATGTCATTTGCTTTCCTGGCTATTAGTGCATAAATGGGGAATGCTCTCTTTTTGTTGCGTGCTCATCTCCAGGCTGCCGTTGCACAAGTGCTGCTGCCCTTTATTTGCGTTCTCTTGCCATGTAACACTTTCCTCAGAGTTCTTATTCATGGTTCTCAACTGTTTCCGTTAGGAAACTTTTCATACTATCCTCCTGTGTAGCAGCATTTATAGTGATGATAACTCCTAAGGCACAGAGGTCTCTTGGTTCCCTACTTGGGGAATTTTCATTGTTGTAGAATTAGAAGGTTTTGGCAGTCAGTGCAGAAGTCCATTATTTTTTGAATCCTTGATGAAACTGATACCTACCTGAGACACTGTGCATGACATTCTCGTGCTCCTATGGGAGTAAATGTAATAATAGTATGCCACCAGTAGTTCAGAGGTGTGCTGGTTTCTTACATACTCTTTAAAGTTGTCTTTGAACCCAAACAATGCACAGGGTCCCTTGTGTTAGATACAATACAGGCAATTAGCAAAAGGGAGTTCTGGCCCATTACAGCTGCATGGTATCAATAAGTGGTCTATGAATTAGAGATATTATTGATAGTTGGACAACGGCTGCAGAATTACTAGCATATGTATAGCATGGTCTGTCATAAATTGTTTTATGTATTTAATGTAGCAGATACAGGGACTTTATTTCCCCATCTGTTGAAATCCTACTCGCTCCGGAAGGGTACTTAGAGGATAGTATGCATACTCAATTCTATAGTAATTACGACTATCACTAAAGCAAAATACCATTTCTAGTGCAAAGTAGTGGCATTACCTCTGATTTATGGTTCCTCACACTCATCTGCCAGACTCTGACTTAACTTTAAGTTGCAAGTTAAGGAAGTCACTATTTCCAAATCACTTTAGAAATCACTGTTACACACACGAAAAGGAAAACACTCTTCCAGATAGCCAACACCGTCTACATTTACAGAAATCTGAACAAATATTTTATCAGAACTAATGTTTGTGATTAATCTTCTAAGAGTGAGAAGGGATTTCAGCCTCCCTGATTCATTTAGGTCTTGTGCTCCTTTTTGAGCTGTACATTGAGCTGAATTACCTTGATGCAAAATTCTACATAATCTGTCAAAAGTTGTTCTGCAGCATTTCTACCTGCTGTTGAGTAGCTTCATTTTCCTGGCTAAGGTTTTGTGCGTGCAATTTGTTAAATTTTGTAAGCAAAAGTTAGTGTGAGATGGCTTTTTATTGAAAGCAGAACAAGTAATTAATTTGCTTGTAACGAAAGAAAACTGAAGCATTTTAAAGACAGGAACAATGCATTTAGAAAGATAAAAGTGTCTTGCTGCTAATGAGATTTGTGCCTTAAAATATGGGTATTTTCTTCTTTTTTTTTTTCTTTTTTTTTCTTTTTTTTTTTCTTTTTTTTTTTTTTTTTTTTTTTTTCCTTCCTCAGCTTTTTCCAGGCCGTCAGCCTGTGGTGAAGTTGTTAGAGACCTTGCAAGAGTGGCTGGTGAGCCTTCCATTAGACAAAATCCCTTATGATGCTATCCTAGATCTGGTCAACAACAAAATGCGGGTAAGCTGTTACTAGTTTCCAGCATAAAATACAGCATTAGTGAAGGATAAGATTCTGTATAAATCTAAGACATCACTTACTGATGGTCCCTCAGTCGTAATGGAGTTATAAGAAGGTTAAAATGAAAACAAAGTGAAATCATTACCAGAAAAAAATCCACATGAAGGAATTGAAATGAGAGAATTGAAATACACAATCCTGTTTCAGTTTTACAATGAGCAAGCAATTGCTAACATATACATGTTCCCTAACGTCAGCTTCAGATGATGCAAGATTCCCAGCGGATATTTTTGAGTTGCTTTTGCTTGCTATGCCTGCTGTCAGCAGGATTCTCTTCAAGGTCAGAGTTTAAGTGATGGGAAATTTACCCACTGAAATGGGCATTCTTCCTGAAGAGTTTCCCCAAATACTCTTTAATTTCCTGGCACAGTAAAGGCCTTGCTAGGGATCCCATCTCGCCGTGGTAATGCAAAGCCCTGTGATAGGGCCACCTTTGTACCAAAGTTCATATGAGTCTTTCTTCCTGTGAAATGGGATTGCTATCTGAAATTTGGAAACCTCCCATGTGTTTTAGGAAGCAGAGAGATAAGTCTCAGAAACTGAAATCTTGCACTGGATTTTAGGTATAATGAATAAGTAGTGGTTTTATTTTAAGAAGAAAGAATAACGAATTCTACATCTTAGCCTGTTAAGCCTTTGCCACTGTAAGCCACGTAGATCTTGCTGAGTAACAAGGAATTTTTAATGTGCCCGGGGAAACTGTAGCTCTCGGAGTTTACTGTAGTATTGATGTGTGTGCGTGTTGTGTTCATACTGTGCTTAAAAAAACTTTACAAGGTTAAGCTACTTAATGTATTCTCTCAGGCTAATTAGACATTTGTGCTGTGGATTTTAGTAGGTTCGACATCAGTGGCTGTATGTTGTTTATCGTGTAATATCGGGTAATCGAGAGGGATGAGTTTTATAATGGTGCATCAGAGTATCTCGGACTTAAGGATTGTTATAAGTTTAAAATTTGTTTGCCTTAAGCACAAATTCATTAGCAACAAGTGCAGAGAGAGTCATTTACTGTTCTTTATCCTTGGATCACGTCAATCTCAAGGTAGGATCAAGTGTGACTGCTGTTACGTTTAGAATTTAGATCCCAAGAGCTGTGTATATCTTAAATACTTTTTTATTTTTCCCCCAGATTTCTGGGATATTTCTTGCTAAGAAAATTCAGTGGGTCGGATGTCAGGGCAGCAGACCAGAGCTGAGAGGTTATACCTGTGCTCTTTGGAAGCTGTTTCATACCCTAACTGTTCAAGCTGCACTGCGACCAAAAGCTTTGATGAATACAGGTAAGCAGCAGTTATGCGAGGCACTTGAAGGATGAGCCAAATATGTGCGGCAGTTCTGCTGTGCAATAGAAAAATTAATGGATTAGAGCAAATTTTTGTGTGTGCATATATTCAACTAATAGGTTGGCGGACGACGGTGGCTTTCAAGGCTTAGCTTTCAGGTTTGTACCAGCAGAGGTCAGAGCTTTACTGCAGCGGGAAGGCTTTGGAAGAAAGTGTGTCAATTCTTGCTTAAAAATGTGGTAAATAAAGTATGTGGCCCTAAAGATGTGAGCAATGGAGCAGAAAAAGGAGAGAATTTCAAACAAAAGAGATTCTGAACCATCTGAAAAGGGATGAAGATAGTTCAGGTTCCCTGAGGTTGCGCTGTTAATTTAATTTGAGAAGAATGAGATTTAACTGTACGGTTTAGTAGCTATAAAAGCTGTACAACCATTAGCCAGTCCTGTAATTCTGTTCCTTAAATACCGAATGTTATGACGGGGTTTTTTTAGCTGAATGTACCTAGTGTCCATTAATCTGTGCAGTGATATACTACTTCGCAAGCACTCTGTAAAATTGCTTATTTTTAGACTCGCAGCATCTTGTGAAGCAGAGTGTTAATATTCTGGTGATGATTCCTATTTAAGAAACATGCTGGATATAGAATCTATTTTCCTCACACAATGGAAATAGAATTACTAATGTTAAAATACCAGCCTTCATATGTTTTTCTTCTTGCCAGGACAGCGCTTTATTTGGTTATAGTTCTATTTAGTTTTCATTTAAACCTTTTTAATGTCTTTTCCAAGGTATATAAGAATGTTAGATGGAATGTTACTAGATCATAAAATTCAGAAATTTGCAATTTGTCCATTGCTGATTGTATGTTAACAAAAAAAATTGATTATTTTAAATTATGGATACAGACATTTGTCCAGTATTACTTGCAACCATGGTGAAAATCTCAGTTCTTCATATTGAATCTGCTGCAGAATAGGAATTTTTTTTGATAGCTAATCATCCTATCATTGATTTCTGTTTCTCGTTGTTTTGTTTGTTATTCATGGAACAGTAGGTTGAATCCCTTTAATTTAGTACTGTGCTCTGCCTGGTGAGTTTGGGTTTTTTGTACTGGATGATATATTAGCTGTTCAACAGGATCACGCGTAAGTTAAATTTCCCCTTTTGTCCCAATTGCCAAAAGTCTTCCAATTAAAAGTAAAAATCATCTTAATATATATTAACTATACAAAATTGCATCTTAAATTGCTCCCGGTTTCAAGCATGAGCTCTAGCCAGGCTGAAGTTAAAAATACATTGTAGAACCTGAAAACTCTTTGGCACACTTAACCATTGATTTAAATCGGGACAGATATGTGATGATCACTTCTTATGGCAAAAGAATTGGGTCAGTCTGAGACTGTCGGATTATGTCTTGGGAGGTTTTCCTCTCCTTATTGCTTGTTTAAATCCCATCTACTAAAAAGCATGATGTACTCCCTAATCCTTCCCACCACAGGTAGGGTTTTATGGTTCTTGTCCACTTTAAAGATTAGGGTTACCCTGAATTGCAGTAGTTTGGGAGGAAAGAGAAAAGGAGGATTACACGATGATACATGGCAGATGTTAATAGAAGATTCATCTCTGGGCTGATAAAAGAAAAACAAACAAAATGAGCCATTTTGCAATTGTTTGTTTTCTTTTTAAAGCAGCTCTATTTTTCTTGATAGTTTCCTCTACTTGCAGAGTCTGGCGGTCAGTGTGAACTTGCTATGGCTTTCTATAATGTTTTTTTTGGTTTATATTTGACACGTTTTAATGTTGAACAGTGTAATTTGAAGCTGCAGTGGGGTCAGCATAAGGGAATCCAAAGTAACTCTGAACAGAACTGCTCGTGTCAGAGGATGTACAAAATCATTGTAGAAATCTAGTCCTGAGCACACTTAATTATATGAAATGTGTTTAGGTAATAGGATCTATTGGTGTGAATAAGACAGGCTTGTGGATTTCATAAAAAAATTATCTGGTTTCTCTTTAATCTGTTGCTGAATTTGAAAGACCTTCCCACAAAATGAATTTTCAAGAGCATAACATTACATGGGAAAACAGATACTATCAAGTTTTTGGGAATCTCTGTGCCTCCATAAAGAGGTTATTTGTTGTGTTTGTTGTTGTTGTTTGGGGTTTTTTTCCTAAATATGTATTTTAGTATGCATGGTAAAACTGCTTTGGCTGAAATTCGTTTCAACTTTCCAAAATTATTTTTCAGCCTTTCTTTTAATACTGTAATTTAATCTGCTTTAATCTCATAGCTTTTATTTATACACGGCTATTCAATCACAGATATTGAATGTCTGAGTAGAGATTGTTTGCTTTTTATGATTTCTTTTTGGTTTTAAAGACTTCTTTTTTTTGCTGCCATGTTTAAGAATATAATGTTCTAAATAAAGGTGTTTATGACAGTCTTCATGCATTTCTTACATACGTAACGGATCAGTACTCTGACAGTTTTGAATAGGTTTTGTTGAGGGGTTTTGGTTTTTTCCAAAAAACAATGCATGTACAGAGGGCATATGTGCTACCAAACTGTTTGTTATTCACTGCCAGAATAGGACAGCGAGCAAAGCACCGTAACCCTTTACTACAGAACCTACAAAACCTGCATTGTAAATAACTCGTGGCAGAGGTGTTCTGCTGCAGCAGTCGGTAATTTGATCAATCTGCATCATAAAATGTGTTTCCTTTGACAAGTGTGTGTTCGTGGTAACGTATAGTACACTTGTAAATACATTTTGGCATAATTTACTAGGTCAATTAAGCATGAATCAGAAAATCTGTGAGACGGAGATGAAACCATTAGGATTTCAACGAATTATATCAGGTTTTCAAGCCACTGCTGTCACAGTAAAGGCCCAGGACAAAGTTCTCAATCTGTAAAGACCTTGGCTTACTTCTGAATAAAATAACTTAATTAACTTAATTATTAACTTTAATAATTAAGTTAATAATTAACTTAATAAAAAATCCTTTTGCATTATCCTTAGTTTGAGAGTGTGAATGTTATAGAAAGAATAATGTGTTTGTGTTTCTTTTAGAAGGAATTCCTGAGTTACTCTTGAAAGTTCAAATGTTGCTAAGTAGCTATGATGTGTATGCATTCAGTGCCTGCCAAAAAAGCTGTGGAATTAATAACTAATGAGATCCCAGTATTCTGTAATACCTCAGAGTTACGGAGTAACAAAGAGATAACATAAGCACCTTGTGAAATACTTATCAGAGAGTTCTTGACTCTTGGTTTTTCAGTAGCAAGGTCACCATAACTTATGCCTGAGCATAAATGTAATGGTGAATGCATAACATGAATATTCATTTAGTTATTGGGCAAGATATTGGAGAAACCCTCTACTTCCAGAAGAATTGTGTGAAGTATAGACAGCGTGGACTTTACATGTTTTAATGATCTCAAAATGTGGCTTCTGAAACAAAAAAAAATTAATGTCTGATTTTCATTTAGCAAATTTTTTCCCCCCTCAGATGTAAGGTGTTCTTTGAAAGGGGAAATTTCACGGTAAAAAAACATTCGACCTTTAACTCTTATTTTAATGTGGTCGGGGTAACTTTGAACACAATTGCATAGATTAAATATGTTAGTATGTGTTGGTATAAATAGCTACTTGGATTTTTAATGACACTGTCACTCACCTAGCATGTTTCAAACCTTAGTGTGTTTGAAATAATTCCCTTGTAGTTGTGTCTGATATCCCAGACAACCTTTTAAAACAGTATGCTTTGAAATGTACTGGTTTTGATCAGTCGGTTTTTAAATGTCTCGTCTCAACTACTCTGTGACAGTATTATATATTTATTTTGCTGGGGAGGGATATTTCTTCTAAGAACTGTGTGAAGCTTTTAATCCCTCCAATATCTTTGTGACTTACTGAGGTGCAGGTTCTGTATGATGGCACATGTGCTATGGATATCTTTAAATTATAAAAGTGGCTAGTTTCTTATCTCTAAAGTGGAGGTGTAAATTTGCATGGAACAAGAAAGTAACAACATTTCTTTTCCTTTTCCCACGCTTCACTTTTGTGTACGTTACAGCGCCTATGTTGTCCAGATGGTGCTAAATGCATCTATCACGTGTCTTCCTAGGTCTTGAAGACAATCCCCAAATAGTGCTTCAGATCATGCGGAGATACATTCACCACTTTTTTGGATGCAAGGCTTGTGCTCAGCATTTTGAAGAGATGGCTAAAGAGTCCATGGATTCCGTTAAGACCTTAGACAAGGCTGTTCTCTGGCTCTGGGAGAAACACAACGTAGTGAATAACAGGCTCGCAGGTATGGAAGACCTTGCTTAGGAAAACCCACCAAAGGTAGCAAGGCTTTGGTGTTTTATACACGGTGGTTTGTGTTTGAACAAAGGTATGCGAGTTAGGCTCTGCAACATGGCTTTAGAAACAACAGTAACAGTTGGTCCAGCTTGACATTCCTTTATTAAATACTGGCTTCAAAAGACTAACTCCGCATTTACCCTGGTGTACAAGAAAGGGTACTTGTGTATAGAGCAAAACCTAGAGCATCTCAATCGACTATAACTCTAAAGACTAACACTAACCTTTGCATGAGTGAGAAATACAGACTTGAGACACGCTGTCCTCCAGCAACCTAGGGATCTCTCATGATATATAACGAAACACCATCATCATTCTCAAAGATCCTGTTTCTTCTGAGATTTCACCTGTTGCTCGATGAGAGGATCTTTCTGGAGCACAAATCCAAGCCTTTTCAAAAAGGAGCAATACAGCTCAGCTACTTATCAGTTACTACAAAATAATTAAATTTCTTTCTGTAACAGTTTAAATAGATGTTAAAACCTGTCTTCCTTTTGTTCTGGAGAGATGCTGTAGAGAAAATGATGATAATTGAATAGGAGACTTTCTCAGGATAAAAGAGCCTAAAGTATTAGCAGATCAGCAACTGAATAAAATAAAATTACTGTATGAAGAAAATCTGTTCCCCCACTAGATTGCTATGTTTTCAGTTAGACTGAAAGTACTGTTAAAATACGGGTTGTATTTAATCCGTTCTGTTATGGGGATATCAAGTAACTAAAGCACTAAAGAAAATTGGTTTCTCTTTGCACTTAATCTCTGTCTGCTGTTATGGATCTGTGTAATGTAACATTAGTTACAATTTAAATATGCTATATTGTGTTTATATTATGGTTATGCTAAATTCCCAAGATTTATGAAGTATTAAATACTGTTGTGAGCATAAACAGTTTGTCTCCTTTCTCCAAGGAGGAAAAAAGTAAATGGTGAGGTATTAAATAAAAACATCCCCTAATGTTTGTTACTATTGCCATGTTGAACACAGAGAAAAAAGTCGTCTTGTTAACTTGAAGTTGCTAAGTAGTGGAGCAATATACTTATTTAGAACATTAAGTTATTGGAAAACTCGCATGGATATTGATTTAGATGATGCAACAAGCCAGCTAAAATACCCTTTTAGCAAGAAGTATAAACATACTGGAATAAATAATGATATTAAATTATGCTTTTTAAGTTTACTAAAATTTCTCTTTGGGACAGTGACTTATTTTAATTCCTAAAAGCTGTATCTGTATTCCTGGTAATATATATAGCTTTCAGTGAGAAATAATGTTTGACTGGTCAATGCAAACACCTTGGCACAGCCTCCAAGTGCGGGTCGTGAGATTGTCGTGTATGGCTCTGCCCTATTTAATTCTTTCCTGTTGCTTTAGATTGTACAGAATTTACAGCATTCTTCTTTTTGGCAGGAAAACATGAAGTACAGCGAGTTTTCTATTTGTAATCTTACCATTAGGTGTTTTGTTTCTGCTTTCTTGACTGAAACAAATTGATGAGTGAGTGATCTTTATCTGAAAAGCAAACTTGCGCTCTTACTTGTAAATATCAAGGAGACAAATATTTTAAAGTGTTCTTTGGATCCCTAAACAATATTTTGCTCAAAATCATGGGGAAGTGTTCTGCCTTTAAAAGGGATAAAAATAATGATAAAATAAGAGTCTACGTTTATTTCTGAAATATTTTAAGTGTTAGTGTACTAGTAACAATCAGATAAATAAATCAGCTTTTTTACCAGGTTGAGATTTTTTTGTTCTAAAAATTATCTCCATGCACATTGCTCTAAAAAAAAAATAAATAACATTTTACAAAGTGCAACACTAGCTACAGTATTCGGCTCTGCCATCAAGACAGAAAGGTGGCCAGAGCTAGGAGCCACTGAGATGTTAAAATTGGATCTGGTTCAAGACAGCGTTATATGTTTAAAAGCTAAAAAGTGAGCTGAAAAATACACCTTAAATATGATAATGGTTTTTAAAGTACTGAAAACAGTTTGCTGTAGTAATAAAGCAAGCTATGAAAAAGCAAGCTTAGGATGGAATGGTTCACAATACAGAAACAGGAAAATATCTGCAAGTCTTCGGCCTTGAAACTGCTGCAAACCAGGCTTCAGGATTAAAGAGCATTGAGTGCAAAAGAGCAGTTGGTTTTGAACCACAATTCAGGTTAACCCCTGCGAGACCCAGCTGGTGGTGGTTTCAGGCCTTCTAAAAAACATAGCAATTGTAGTATCTTGTATTAGAATTTGAATGCTACAGCTTTTGCTGAGAGAAAAGGAAAATAATTATGATTTAGCATTTGTATTTTGAAAGAGGAAGCAATACTTGGGAACGTGATTGATGCAGCCAGAAGGAAGCATGAATTTCCGAGTTTGTTCATGATTGTCTTCAGTTTAATACAAATATTACTGGGCTTTTTTTGCCAACCTCACTATTTATAAGTGGAAAACACTCTCTGTGGTTTCCAGTGAAGTGTCTGGTGGTTCAGCTTTCCTGGTTCGTTCACTTCTGATGGTTTGGTTTGGTTTTTTCTTCTCCCAATTAGGTGATTTGACTGAAGATCCAAAATTTCCCAAAGTTCAGTGGCCAACTCCAGACATTTGTCCTGTGTGTCATGAAGAAATTAAAGGATTACACAGCTGGAATGAAGCCCAAGTTCTACAGTTCATGAAGTATCACTATAACAGTGAAAATATTCTGTATAAATACACCGAAAGCCAGACTGACTCCGGTGAAACTGAGCAGGGAGATACAAGGGAGGTGAAAGACAAAAGCCTACTGAAGAAACCAAGCGGAAACAGAGAAAATAAGATCCAGGATAAAGAAAACATACTAGATTCGGAATCTAAGGTGTTAGATAAGCTAATGGCAAATCATGGACCTGTCAAAGAGAGCGGTAAAAGTGCGGTTGGATCAGCTAACCTTAAAGAGACGAAGCAGGCTGTGTCTTTCTTAGGGATTGGATTTTCAAACGTAGACATGAGTCTGTGTGTCATACTGTATGTAGCATCGTCCTTATTTTTAATGATAATGTACTTTTTTTTCCGAATGAGATCTAAACGGTGGAAAGTGAAGTATTATCGTTCATCTGTATAGAAGTTTAAATCGGAAACAAAAGTTTTCATCGTATGTGGCTGTTCGGTACCAGATACAGCTTTAATATTTATGATCAGGGATTTTATAGCAGTATTCCTTGTTTAAAACCCCTTTCTTCCCAAGTCATTTCGCAAGTGTTGTAGCTTAATATCTGGAGCTCGCTGGCTGTAAGAACCCTAATCTTTAACTGAGGCACATAGTGCTATCATAAAATGTCCACTGAAGTAAGCATTGCATTTTTCAGTACCACCTACATCCTTTACTCATTTTCAGAGTAAACATTACATTATGCAATCGACTGTGCCTGGTTTTAGAAAGAAATTGGATATTGTTTTGTGTACTTCAAGTCAGTTGTTTTGGGTTTTTTTTTAATTTATCCAGCGCTGATTTTACCTACCAGAGTACTGAACAGTTATGCTGTTACCTTGGCTGCTTCATTTGGAGAAGCAAGAATTCTGATTTATTTTTTTTTCCAGGAAACAAGAGTTCTATTCTGATTAAATCAGTTCTAACCCTACGTGACTTTCTCAAATATTATTTACACTGCATATTTAAAGTAGAAAGTATTATGTCTTCAAATAAGTCTTCCGTCTTCCATTCTCCCATGCGTTCCAAGCCAAGGATGTGTATGTGTCTGCTAGGGTGAGAGCTTTGGGGCAGTTTGTACCCCACTGAGCAGCCTGATTCTGATTGCTCATGCTGTCACCCGCTTTAATGGAGTTCAGATGTCAGCAAGGACAGACTCGGACCCAGTGCTTTACTGGCTCCTCCACTGGATGTGTCGATGGAACGCTAGATAACTCGCCTCACTCATTTATGAACCAGAGAAGTCGCTGAGCGGTTGTTGTGTTATCCAGATGGAAGCCAGTTCTGATGAACTGCAGTAAAGGGAAACGGTGTTTTTAGTGAAGGACAGTGAGATTTGCATCAGCAAGCCAGAACAAACATACGGATCTGGAAGTACTAAGTGTCTTACTATGTTGGATAACTCAGTTACAATATAGTAATTTTTCTTCTTGTAAGGTGGGTAAACCCTTCACTTGGTATTTCCAGTTCTGAGCTCACAGAGTCACCTGCTCGCTGTAAAGTTGTCTGCACAGGACTTAGAAGAACAGCCCATTTCTCTTGTCCTTGTGCTGGAGGGCTCCTTTGTTTGGGTCGAGAAGGGTTTAACTAAAGGTTAAGTCTGAGAGCTGCTCCGTTCTGGGATGTGGCAGCAGTTGGGAATATGGCGGTTGCCTTTATGGATCTGCCTGGCTCTCTGGGGTCCTGGCTGGCAGCAATTAGAAGAAACTATGAAAATGGTTATAAATTTACCATTCAGAATAGGAGTTCCTTTCTGATCCTAGCTGTGGGGGATAATTCACGTCCTGGATAGTGAAGTTTATAATCCTATCCAATGTAATTGAGCATGTTCTAGTTATCCATTACCTAATCTTTAGTTAATCCTAATAGGTTTTGGCCTCAATGTTTTCTTGTGGCAGTGAGTTCTACAGATTAATTATGTTATATAAAAAGGCTTTTCCTTTCAATTCTACGTTTGCAACTTCTAATTTAATTGAATGTTCGCTAGCTCTTCAGTTTTGCGAGAAGGAATAAATAGTCCCTGGCCAGTTTGTATTTATACTGTTAGTGTGTCCTCCTCTTATTTCCATCATAAGCCCTAGCATAAAAAGTTTAAAGCCTAGCAACGAGAATGGTCTAAAAGCACAAAAACTCGACAGGGTTAGTTTTTCGCCATCAAACCTTGTTTGTTCACAAAACTGAACCTTTCTGACACAAGTTTCTGCAGCTTCCAGTTGGAATAAAAAAATTGAGCTTCAAAGATTGGCTGCCCCTTGTTCCTGAAGTTTATCAAAATAATGTGTGCATAAAGTAATAACCTGCTGTGGTTATCGTAAACGTATGTCCGAGGAAAAACCCTCTGCTGGCGTAATACTGTTAGTCTGATGTGCAGCAAGAGGCACGTTATCTGTGGTTTCCTTAGGCCATCTTCGCTGTTTATCATATGCACCCAATGGCTCTTGCTCCAATGTAAGAAACTTGACTCCACGCTCTCTCCGCAGAGCTGGAGGCCGGCTCCTGCCTTCTGCCGCGCGGAGCTGGGAGCACCTGCGGCCAAACTGCTGCTGCCTGTGCTCCGACACAAAAACTGCGCTCTAATTTTGACGTTCAGTCTGCGACATTAAGTCAGCGCTTTCTAAGGACGCTCACTGTTCCAGAGTTCTGGCACAAGGAGCCATTGTGGGTCTCTCTTTTCTCCAGGAACTTATAAGGCTCCCTATAATTATCTTTGTAGCACCTGGGCTTGAATATGAAAACAACTTGTAAGAAAGAAAGGCAGTGAACCACCAGTGGACGATGATCCAGGCTGGCTCGTTGGGGCCGCTTGCTCCGTGCTGGAATCCAGCGCAAGGTCCCAGGAGGAGGTTTGGTAAGAGGAAGGCCCAGAGTTTCCAAATTTAATTTTGAAAACCAGGCAACTTTTAAGTGACCTGATCTGGGGAGATGTTAGTATCAGCCAAGAAGCAAGGACATTTAGCTTCTCAAAAAAAACCCAAACAAACAAACAAAAAAAAAACTGCAAAAACAAACCACCCAAACACCAAAAAACCAAGACTGCAGCATAGCAAGTACTGGATCTGAAAAATCTGGCCCATTCCTCTGGGGCCGTTGAATTTCCCGCTGTCGTAACTGTGGCATTTTCTGAAGTTGAAAATCCATTGTCATCGCTGCCGCTTAGACCTCTACCAAACACACAGACCTGAGTTTGTTACCTTTGACTCATTCTGCTTATTTTCATCTGCATATGAAAGCAGAAGGCTTGGAAGGTTTGTGGGGTGATTTTGCCATTAAAACAGCAGCAAATGCGGGTTTGGAATAAGGTGGGGTTTTTTTGCTACGTGCCGTTAACTTCCATGTTTCTGTGACCCTGCCGGCGATGTGACAAAAGGAACCCATACGCAAGTGCGGGTTTTTTGGTTGGTTGGTTGTTATGAGTGTAAAAGCATGAAAATAGGCTGTTGATGATTATCTGTGCTGGAGCTCTAACTCCGTGGCCAGCTAATGGTGAAGGCTTTCACTTTAATTGCTAGCAGAGACCTCAGCTGGAAACCTTTTCTTGACTTTGAATTCGGTTGTGTAAATCTTGGTTTACTTGTTCTTATTTTCTCTCTTTACACTGACAAATGATATCCTTTTGTGTACTCCGACTGTAAGGACACATCACGTCTGCTGGGGGATGCCTGGTGCTGCTTTGCCGTGGTGCGTTATCGCTGGGGGAGGTACAAGAAAGTGTTTCCTTTTGTAAAAATGGCCTCAAACCACCACCTCCTCAGTCCCGGAGGCTTTGGTTGTGCCTTGTGTTGTACCACAGCAGTTTCTGCAATGCCGCGTTCATCTGTGGATCGTACCGTGCTGGTGGCAGTCATTTCCGAGAAGGATTTCTTGGCCCCTTTGTAATTCACGGAGCCTTCTTTTGCTCTCCGGATGGTTTTAAAGAGGAAATATTAAACCTGCGTAGAAAATAAACAGAGCGCTGTGGAATGTGCCAGGAGAAAAGCTGTGAGTGCTAAAGAAACCCGATGAAGTTATTCCTGAGAACTCTTAAGCTTTACTTTCCAGCAGCGTATCCATCCTGCTATTCCTGCTCAGAACTGGATGGGAATTGCCATCTTAGCGAAAGGTCCAAGGCGTCTTGTCTAGGTCTGTGCATTGCCTACGAGATATTGAAAATAGTGACTATAAGAGCCAGTAATTTAAATGTTTTATTTATTTTAATTCAGTAACTTGACATTTTCAAGCCTATTCTGTTTGGTTTGGGTTTTTTACTCACTGTCATACCTCTAGGAAGAAGAAGCGACCGTTTTGTACTAAATTGTAAACTAATGTGCTTGTTTAAAATAAATTGCAAACATTTGGGCAAAGTGATGCGTTCTGGCTCTTTACTTGTATTTTCAAGTTCTTTGTAGCTAAACGGTATTGTGAGGATAGCTTGGATACACGTCCGTTTCAAACCATAGGGGTCATTTTCTGTGGGTACTTAATTGTGAAAAGTGCCGGGAACAGCTCAGCTTTTACTCCCTTTCTTTCACTGTTATCCCATAACTTTGTAAAATGTCAGTGGATGTTTGCTGGAGTGATGGAAAAATTGTTGGTTTCTGCCCAATTATTTGCACATTGCCTCTCTGTCTGCACACATGCCCAAATCTTCCTTTCCCTCAAGCCTGAACACCTCATGCCAGGACGGTGCTAACCTCTGCCGGGTGCTGCTGAATCTTTCTGCAGCTTCTGCTGGCATCCACAGTGCCACTGAGGGTGTGGGGCGGGCGGCTTGTTAGAAATATTATCTACCTGCAGAAGCAGTCCGTGGTATTTTTAGAAATCTGTAAGACTTTGAAACCTGTAGATCAGCTTCTTTGAAGTTTGGTGCTGCAACCCCCTTCTCTGGGGAACCGTGCGTTTCCCTGCTGGCCTGGGCCTTGCCCGGGAAGCGGTGATGCTGCCCTGGGGAACCGGAGGGATGGGCTCCTCGCCTGAACCTCTCGCGGGCAAACGCAGATGACGTCCCCGAGGCGGCAGGGGTAGGAGTGCCTGTCCTTGCCAGCCCAAGTTAACACATCGCGTGCCTCATCTCCAAGAGGTGCTAAGGGTTGTCCTGGGAACTCGCTGCGTGATCTGATGTGCTGTTGTCAAGGTGGGGGGACAAGGGCTGTCACACACAAACTGCCACGGGTTCCTTGGCAGGAAGGACGGTGCAGTCTTGGGTCTGTCCACAGAAGGGAACGGGGAGGGGAATGTGTTAAAGCCCAGACTTCTCGGGGGCTGCTGAGTGATCTTCTGAACCCAGGGAAGAGAAAAAAAAAAAAAAAAAAGAATTATATGTTTGGGTTGTTTGTTTTTTTAATGGCGGCAGAACCGCAATGAGGAAGACTATGGGCAGGGTCTGATGCCTGCTACAACCCGAGCAGGACTGACGGGCCCGAGCGGGACATGGGCCTCCACCCGGCGCAGCCATAACCCTGCCCTGCGCCACGTGTGCGGGGGGACAGCCACCACCATACACACACGCGCACTTTCTTAAACTGCTTCCTTAGAGGATCAGACTAAAAATCCACTTATAAAACTGAGCTTAGATGAGTCCGTGTGGATCATCACCTGCCCCCTACCAAAGCTGCTCATGGCCCTGGGGAGGGATGAGGTGCCCCAGCGCAGCCCGTGCTGGCGGTACCCAGCAGGACTTGCCGCGGTGCCCACGATTACCCCAGCACAGTACTGATGATGCTCCACCAGTGCTCTACCTGTACCCAGCTGTACTCCAGCCTCGCATTTCTAGGTACTTTAGTTGGAGACCCCAGGTCCCCAAAATGTCTCCCTGCATTATTTTCCAACCCTATGGATCTGAGCTGTCACCTGGGCTGGGACCTGTCCCCCAGACAGATGAAAACCATCCAAGGGGACAGGCCTGACCCAGCCATCAGTCCCTGCAGCCCTGCACCATGCAGGACCCCAAGCAGGCAGGAAGGCAGCCTGGCACCCAGGGGTGCTCAGCCACGGTGCAGGACCAATGTGGGTGCTGCAAGGTTGGGGCTCTCGGGGGCTCAGCACTACGCCCACTCCCTGGCTGCCCCCACGGGTGGGCGAAAGTCCCTGTGCTGCTGTCCGGCAGGAACATATGTGTGTTTGGAGGCTCCCGCCCCTAAGCTGCTTTTATTAATTTGTAATCCCCTGCGAGCAGGAGGTAAAGGGATTCGGGGGATTAACGGGCTCACAGTAACAACCACAATTATCAGCTCCGGCTGCCTGGGGCAAGCACACGCACGGGGCTGTCCACCCCGGCCCGGGCACACACAAGCACACAGACCCCCCCCCTGTGCACACCCCAACACCTCTGCACACGCAGACACACCAGCACCCACGGCATAGAGCGCAAGCGCCCAGGTACAGGCACAGGCTCACACACCTGCGAGCACACAGGCACACGTGGAAGCCTGCACACCCCTACACGCACACCCGCAGGGGTGCCCAGGCTGGCACAGGGCCTCCTTGCACGCACAAGCGCGCACACACAAACCGCAGCCAAGCAAGTGCGCGCCCACGCGCTCACCCACGGCGACACGCGCGCCCAGCGTGGGCAGGGCCCCGCACCCAATGTGCCCACGCGTGCTCCCACCCCTGCGCC